AAAAAAAAAAAGGTATGACAAATGTGCCTTTTGCCTTTCTGAAACTTCACCATAATAATAATACTTTAAGTTTTTTAAGAATTCACAATTTTATACAAATCCAATTAAGACCAGTTTACGAGTTTCATAAATATAACATTACTACTATCACTTCAAATTCTAATTATAAATTCTGAATTCCTGTGGCATATTAATAATGTTAACAGTTAATATGTGTTAAATTCCTATATACTGATACTTCTCTACATTTTTTCCATATCTTAAGTCAGTTAATACTCATGATGACCTTGTGTCTTAGATTTTATTAACAACCACATTTTAGGGATTAAGTAACTTTTCCAAGATAACGGAACAAAAAGAGGCATGGAACCAAGACTCAACTTTATACAATATGGCACTAGAACAGCACTGTTCAACAGAAATATAATGTGATCCACACATACAAATCTAAATTTTCTTGTGTCCCCATTAAGAAATGTAAAAGGAAGCAGATAAAATAACTTATGTAACCCAATTTTTCCAAAGTATTATTGTTTAAACATTCAGTCAAATACACATTCTTTTTTTAAGTCTTCAAAAGTCTACTGTGTATTTTACATCTACATTTCAGTTCAGACTAGCCACATTTCAGATAGCCACATGTATTACTGAGTTCGAGACTTGCTCTCTTAAATGCTATGCTACCAGAAAGTAATCTAAAAAAGTCTTTGTCATCCCTGTTATAGAATATTTTTCAAACATAATTAACTTAGCAATACTCCAGCAGCACTTCATCATTTGATCTTTCCCAGCCCAGCTTAAGAGTGGGACAGGAGAAAAAAGTTCATCTGGTGTCGGGGGGCGGGGAGGACAATTCTTCATGGTGTTTCTGCACATCTTCATCAGCTTTTGTGACAAACTATCTTCCCAAGGGTACAGTTAGGGTCTCCCTCTGAGGTAGAGGACAGATTTGGTTCCTGACCATGGTAATAAAAATAAAGTTCTCCTCTGGGGCAAGATTTGCACAGGTTTGGTAGGAGCCCCTTCATAAGACTGGGGGTTTATTAAGCTTGAGGACCCTCAACTGTGATGGAAACATCTTGTGTGCACAGCGACTGCCGCAGCCCTTCCGCATCACTTTTGTGGGACTTGAGAGCTATGGGGAACCAAAGCCACCTCTTGTGCCATGAGGAATAAAGTCTTCTGTCACTGACCCAGCAACCTGGTGTCTTCTGCTAGAATCCATAAAACTAGCAGGCTAATTTGTTAGTTTGAAAGCAGGGTAAAGTCTTAGACCCATCACGGTTCTTGATATATCTTCTGGGGATTGCTGGGTTTGGAAATAGGAATCTCCCAAAGAAAAGAGCTTACATTTTTGATAGCTAAGACCACATGAACTCAATTTATTGTTTTATGATTAAATTTTTGAAACAATGACAGGACAAAACAAAAACAAACAAACAAAAAACCCCAGCTTCATAGTGCTTCCCCCATTTTTGATCAGTGGCCTATTCCTGTTAAGGCCTTGTCAATGTCCACATAAATTCCAGCAAACACCTCACACCAAGGTTTCTCAGTTTCTTTGATACAACATTTATGTATACTGTACCTTTCCACAACATTTGGCTTTGTCTATAATCTTCAGGGCAAATTCCTTTCCAGTGGACCTATGAAACAAACAGAGAAAGGCAATTTAAAGATACAAATCACAGATACAATCATTCTTGATTTTCTCTATAGTACACATTCAGGGAAGAAGGACTGGCTTCCTCCTCTGTACATCAGGAACAATGTTGAGTGGGGTCAGGGAGAAAGGTACTCCCCCTAAAAAAAAGAAAAATCCAAAGTCACCCTGTCAATCTTCTTTTATAAATATTAATTATAATATTAAATAACTCACATATTAAAAATACTTACATTGCATCAGAGTTGGACAAGGAACTTCTTCCATACTAAAATTTCAAAATAGTTTTCTTAGGAGGCAGAATAAAATTAAGAAAAATGAATCAAAGTAACTGAGAACTTTCTATTATCAATATATCTTTAATCTATTAATGATTAAAAAGCCCTAGACTTTCAATATCTATTTCTCAGCAAAACTCCATCTGGTGTCACTTTATCCACAGCTTTCAAGGCTTATATCTGGTAGTAAAGAGATCGGTCATTTACTCGGACATACAAATGTTGATGTTGTTATTTCGCTTTTTATCACCTTTAACATAATTTAATCTGAACACGCCAAAAAATTTCCTTTAGAATAGGAAAACACTTCAACAAAGAATATAGCAGTATTCTTGGAATATATTAGTTCTCTCAAGTCCAGCTGTTTTTGCCACATAGTCAAAGTACATACTGATGAAGCTGACCTTAAAAGAATGACATTCATTTAAATTACTTCTCCATAACATAAACCAAACACGGATTCAGATTTCTTTTTTTTAATATATATTTTACTTATTTGAGAGTGAGAGAGCATGCACACTAGAGCATGTGCAGGGAAGGGGCAGAGAGAGAGGGAGAGAAAGAATCCCAAGCAGGCTCCGCGCTGTCAGCGAGAGTCCAATGTGGGGCTCAAACTCAGAAACAACAAGATCATGACCTCAGCTAAAATCAAGACTCAGAGGCTTACCCAGCTGAGCCACCCAGGCGCCCTGGACTCAGACTTCTAATGAGTCTTCAGAGGTCATATTTTAGCTGCTTAATTTGTTACCTGGGAGACAAGCTGTGCACCAGGGCTAAGTCAAACAACATAGAGGGCACCGAAGCTTCACTGGAGACTGGCGAAATGTAAAAACTGTACCTACAACTTTCTGGAAAATTCCCCACAAATAATAAAAATTACCACTTACAACAGGTCAGACATTGGTCTATAAACAAAAAGACTCTAATCTGAGTCTTTTCCAGTTTTTATATTGTTTAAAAAAGGCCTGGAATTTAAAAGAATGGATTTCTTACCATTTGAGAATTTAGGACTCTAAACAAAATGAAGCTGAATAAGCAAAAATATAATTTTAATACAGGCAAAAGTTGGCTGACTCTGATCTTAATAGAGTCAGAGCTCATGTATCCTGAACTACTAGTATAAACAACTAAGTATTAACTGAGAACAGTGCCTGACACAGGTAAGTGCTATATACATTTATTTTTTAAATGATAAATCTCTCACCTCAACTGCATACAAAGCAACTTCATATTCTGTGTGTATACCTGTATTTTTTCTGGTCAAACTGCCTGTGGGCTTACAAAGCAGCTGATCCTAACAGCAGACTTTTCCAGAAAGGGGGAAATAGAGATTTCCCAGGAAGGCATTTTATTCATACATTCAGGTAAGAATAGACTCTAAGGAAGAAATGTATGTGTAGGTGAACAAATGATTATCCTCACCTGTCCATGCACTCTTTGACTACTGCAAAATTCCCATCACCAATAACCTTCCCAATTTTGTATTTCTCAAGAAGAGTTGATGATTCAGAGCACCTGTTTCCATTTACACCTGCACAAAAGGATAAATGCAAAGTCTAGCAAACACATCAGCATTTCATCTAGATTCCTACATATCTGGGCAATAATAAATTGCAATGTATTCATTTCTAAGTCAATGATGAATCATTAGAAAATTTCTAAGCATATCTTCTGAGGAGAACACCTGAATCACCAATTTGCTTTTAACCTTGCTGTGGAATCTGAAACAAACATAATCAACAAACCTAACAAATTCCCCAAACATCAGCTGAAATAAGTAAAAAGGAAGCTTAACCTAAGCTTTGTAAACTTTTCTGTTAACACTCAAGAAAGGGGAAGGGGACAATGGTGGGGATTTAATCTCATCTTATAAATTTTTAAGATTTCTCCTCAGGATTTTCTAGTAAAGAAAATTCCACCCAGCTGGGATACCTGTGAAGGCTAACTCCTGCCTCCAAGTCTTCTCAAAAAGGGGAAGGGGGAGAGGCAGGAGGACAAAGTGGTTAAAATGACTACTTTTACAATGCATCCCCAGTGCCCAGCACATAGCAGAAAACCAATGAAGAAACATACTTTTGCTACCTAATTGAGAGAAAGTCTATGTGTAGGACTTGTGAGCAGACTGCCACTAAGGAAAAAAAATATGTAAGCCCAAGTGTAAAATCTGAAATTGGGTTAGCTTAATTAGAAGCAAGGAAACTTTATATATCTTGTAGTGACTCCCACCCACTACAGCTCAACAGGCTAATTGGTGACATGATTACATCCCTGTTTAGGAAGATTATAATTTAGCATCAAGTGGGTTTTGGGTGGCCACCAAGTTCACATGGATAACTTCCTGTATATGAGAAATCATCAGATTGAGGACTACCTTCAGGACTCATGCAACGACCAAGTTCAGGTCCACCATTTACATTCGAAGAAGATCTGCCGTGTGCAGAAATCTGCTGAAAGAAGAGAGTGACTATTACTTATCAGGATAAATTTACAAATATTCAGCTAGCAAATCCTTAAAGAATAGAAGATGCTTATATTGTGCAAAAATATAATGATACAAGAAGAGAGGAGGCATCTCTTTTTCATCTCTTGCATACACACACACACACACCATTAACATATCTCTTCCTTAAAGTATTTTCAATTCAGACTGGATGTCAGGAAACTTGACAGTATGTTATTCTCTTTGATACTGTTTTGCTTGTGACCTCAGGGGAATAAAGTAAAGGAAACTATCATGGAACCACCGCTGAACAAGGAACTATAGGTAATTCCAAGAAATGTCAGCACCGAGTCCCCAGATCCCACCACCGCCCTGTGGCCGACCCCAGGGGGGGCCCTAAGGGGGAGCCCTTCTCTGAACTCCAGCCCCATGCCCAGCACTGTACCACCTTCCACACCCTCCTGTGGCTTCAGGATCCAGAGTGTAGCCCTGGCTCAACCCTCTTCTTTACTGACCCCAAGACAGCAAGAATTCCTCCTAAGCATGTTAAAAACTTTTACTACTAGGAACCAGAGGGAAATAAAAGATAAAACTAAAAGATTCCAACTCAGTGATGCTGCAGTTCCCAGTCACAAAAATATCTGTAATCCTTAGAAGAATTAAAAAACTCATATTAGGGGCGCCTGGGTGGCCCAGTCGGTTAAGCGTCTGGTTTTTGAATATTGATTGGCCCAGGCCATGATCAGGCAGCATCGTGGGCTCAAGCCCCGCGTCAGGCTCTGTCCCGACAGGCCAGAGCCTGCTTGGGATTTTCTTTCCCTCTCTCTCTGTCCCTCCCCTGCTCATGAGAACTGTCTCTCAAAATAAATAAAACTTAAAGAAAAAAAGAAAAACTCGTATTATTCATATCATGTTTACTATTACGTATGCTTAGGGAATCTTTTTCTTTTTTTCTTTATCCCTAAGGGCTCATAGGCTTTTAAACTCAAATTTTGCTCTTTGAACTTTGTCTTTCTTTCTTTAATGATTCCTTTCAGGAGCTTCCAAGGTCAAAGGACTTACCAGATACTGAGAAACCTCTTTGACATCTTTTGTACTGCTGTGCATACCTGCTTGCCTCAATGCCCAAGCTGTCCTGGTACCTCTGTCCCATAATGGCTGTGCCTTATTCATCACTGCATTTCCCGTATGCAGCACAGTGCCTGGTACACACAATCCTGATTTAATACTTGCTGATCAAAAACACAAATGACACAGGGCCTACTCTCTTCCTCTAGGTGAAGTAAGAACCTTGCTGAGACTGAGTTTGGTTCAAAACCCAGGAAAGCCCAATACTGATTTATACACACTGCTTCGAATAGGATCATCCAGAAGGTCTTCTGGAATAAGATATGAGTCTCAAGAAGAAGAGGCATTAAAAATTGGTCTGCTTTCTCAGATTCCATGTAGCCACACCTTGTGTGGACAGTAAAACCAGCAGCAGCATGTCCTGTTGGGAAACCTAAGGCCAAGGGAAGGCAGTTCTGAGAGTCAACCAGTCAGCTCCTGCCCTGAGTGGCAACCATACTTCTCACAAGTTCTGCCTCCTTCACTCTGACATGGAGAATAACTGTAGCAACGTGTGTACGTGCAGGGTCCCTTTCAGGCCACCCTTTATCTTGAAAACGCTACAGTCAGCTCACACTTCACCATCCACAGACTCCTCGGAGTTCAATCATTCTGTTTCTCACAAGGTAAATGGAGGACAAAGTTTTTCACTTGTTAGCCTTTTTGTTTTCTCCTGGTTTTGTTTTTTTTGTTTTTTTTTCCTGCTGAAATGAAAAGCAACTCCAGAATCAGCAGTATTCTATGTTAGAATGTTTAAAAGGTAGATTGTTTAAAACTAAAGCCCAGAGAGGCGGCTTAAAGGGAAGCCGAAAAGAAAACTACAAGGTTCTTCAGTCAGTTCTGTTTCCACAGCTACCAAGCCCGTCCTGGTCCTCCTCGGGCTTCTCCTGGAGCCTCATCAAAAGCCTCCTTAGTTACTTTCAGTTTCAGCCACATTCCACACAGGATTGCCAGGAAACTTCTGCAAGCGTAGTTCTGGTATGACCCCTACGATCGATCTAAGACCTCAGTGGGTCTTTGTGACCAACAGAATAACACCAATAGGATAATCCCATGATTTGTCTCCCTACCTACCTATCCAATTTGTTTCCCACCACTTTTTATCATGCATTTTATACATTAAATGAATCTTTTTTTAAAGTTGCTTAAACTTCTTAAATCTTAATTTTCTACTTTGAATATAGGGGTAGTAGCAGCTCCTAGCTCAAAGATTTGCAAGTAAATTTAAATGAGCTCATACATGTAAACACATTTAGCGTGTCAACTCACTGACATGTAATTAAGTCATTATTAGTTATTAGTATACCTTTCCTTAAAATATAGTAAGTACAAAATAATAAATTATTAGTCATTATTATACTACATATATGTGATATATATTATATATAAGTCATTATTAGTTATTAGTATACCTTTCCTTAAAATACCTAGCATAGAGCCTAGAATCCAGTGACTGAGAAATGTTTTCCAACTACTGAATGTACAATGGCTACAAGAGCTCTTTTGCTACATAATTCATTCCTCTTCTAATCTAACCCTTCGTAGACTGAAAACGGTCAGTCAAGTGAATAAGAAATCCAAATTAAATTCATATTAGCCAGGGGCGCCTGGGTGGCTCAGTCAGTTAGGCATCTGACTTCAGCTCAGGTCATGATCTCAGGGTTTGTGAGTTCAAGCCTCATGTCAGGGTCTGTGCTGACAGCTCAGCTTTGGATTCCGTGTCTCCCTCTCTCTTAACACCCCTCCCCCACTTGCACACGCGCTCTCTCTCAAAAGTGAATAAACATTAAAAAAAAAAACTTTAAAAAATTCATATCAGCCAAATTCTTAATGGAATAAAGACAAGAAGAATGTCATTTTGGAGAAAGTATATCCCAAAAAGTAAATGGAAAGATCCCTTTTTATTTTTAAAGTTTATTTATTGGGGTGCCTGGGTGGCTCGGTCAGTTAAATGCCTGACTTTGGCTCAGATCATGATTTCATGGTCTGTGAGTTGGAGCACTGCATCAGACTCTGTGCTGACAGTTCAGAACCTTGGTCCTGCTCCGGATTCTGTGTCTCCTTCTCTCTCTGCTCCTCCCCTGCTCACACTCTGTGTCTTCCTTTCTCTCAAAAATAAACACTAAAAATTTTTTTTAATGAAGTTTATTTTGAGAGAGACAAAGACAGCATGAATGGGAGAGGGGCAGAGAGAGAGAGGCAGAGAGAGAACCCCAAGCAGACTCCACACTTTCAGCGCAGAACCTGATGTGGGGCTCAAACTCACAAACCATGAAATCGTGACCTGAACTGAAATCAAGAGTCTGACTGAGACACCCATGTGCCCTGGAAAGATCCCTTTTGATCACTGCTCACCTCTAGATTACAGTGATGGGGGAGGGGGGACTGTTAATACCTGGAAACAGCAGGGGCAGTGACCATCTTATCTGCATGTCTAAATTTCACAGCCCAGAATGGGGCAGCCCCACACCCTCAGGCCACAGCTGGCTGAGTCAGGCCTGGGTGCTGAGCAGAAACCATCTCTCCTCCAAACACTCTGAGCCTATGGAGGTGTGCAGTATGTAGGCTTCACGGCCACTGCTGAAGTCCTCAGACCTGCCTTTGAGCCTGCCTTCCCCCACACCTGCCTGCTTGCTTAGCTCTCCTGGAAGTAGATAGCTTTCTTCTAACAAGCCCCTTTCTTGAGCTAATTTGAGTACATTTTGGTTCACTGAAAGCTGATGTGTTCTAACTCAAGGCTTCTCTAAGAGGGAACTCTTGGAAGGGACTAAAATGCAGGCATTTTTACCTCCATATACATTTTCACATGGATGAGTGACTCCTCAGAGTGTTTACTAATTGAGTTCCTGTGAACCACTGTAACTTTCCCAGTGTTTGTTTTGATTAACCCCCCAACACTGACTTATTCTGAATCCCAGGAATTCAGTAACAGTCCAGCAACTGCAAACACGGTTTATGTTGGGATTCAGAGGCAGCAAAGAACAACGAAAGAGACCAGGAGACAGAGCAGGTGTGGGAACTGGTTCCCTAGTAACTAAAGAGAGCAGGACCTAGGCTGAAGCCTGAGCAGGGGAAGTGGCCCGTGGTGAGGGGGTGCCCAATGAAATGATACTTTCAGGAGTACCTGACAAAGGTTTCATTAAATCACCAGGAAGTGTAGACTTCTTAGCAAATACTGATGGCAAGACGGGCATTTTTCAAAAGTCTCAAACTGAAATTTTTTTAAGTGCTAAACGTCAAGCAATTACCAAAACAAAACCAAAAACCTCTGTAGAGTTAACAGGAGTGACATATCTAATTACCTATCCAAATAATGCTCCTTTATTTGAAAATAAAGCTTGGAAAATGAAAACACAAAGGGGAGTCATTTTATTACAGCACAGCTGAATAGACAGGGACATGATTTGACACAGCAACAGCTTTCCTTTCCTCCCTCAGCAATAATCTAGGCTGAATTGTTAGAGAATATAAAGATGAAGGGACACGATCATTACCGCCCAGAGGTTTACAATCTTACAAGGAGACACATGTACATGCTTAAAACCTTTCTGGGAAACCTCTTCATTCCAAGAAATGGTTGCTAAGGTTCTGATGATTACAAAGGACTCTGAACACCTGTGAGAGGCAGCCATTTTACTAAGGCATGAATCTGGACTTGTAATGCTTGAATCACACAGCTAGTGATTAAGTTCACTTGACCCCCCAGCAATGAAGCTTGGTGCTCCAAGGGTACAAGAAAAGCTGGGTATTCACCAAGATCCCTGGACAGATCCCTGGCAAATGTGAAGTGTCTATTGTGCAGCATAAAGCAAAGCATTCCCAGTGCCCTGAGAGGCATGCAGACAAAGAGCAATGAAAATGCAGGGGATGAAGCTAGGACTACAAAATTCACAGTTTCCC